ATGGTTGGTATAGAGATTCCACGGTCGAAGGATCCCTCTTGACCAGCTTTACTGAAACATTCCTTTTCGATCCCGGTGAAAACGCACTTAGCTTTCGTCCACCATGTGAAGAACAGCATCACGGCAAGGTATGATTCCTGAAACTAAATTTAAGCTTTTTCACTCGCAAGCTTAAATTTAGTTGTAAGGATGATACCTTGCTCTGATGATGCTGGTCATATGACGGACGGAAGCTAAGTACGTTTTCACCAGAATCGAAAGGTATCACCTCGGAAACAGCGTCATCACGAATGTTCCAGTAGGGAAAATCGACATCTGGCCGAGAGAAATCTGCCGTCGTCTTCTGATGGAAGCGCCGTATTAAAGCCAAACTGCTGCAGAACTACAGAAATATCTCGTCGTATTCTTGTGAGATTAACCAATAAATCTCTACATCATTCGCTTTCGCACACACTTTTCGTATCTGGTCAGGCAAAATCAGGCTGAGTCACTAGAGCTGCGATGGACCTCGCACTATGCCCCTTATCTTTCAATATTTTTTGCCAAATTGACTTCCAATTTGCAGAAGAATAAACTTGACAATGAGTTCGAGCACAGGTCAAAAATCCTAGCGACAGTTCCAGTTCTGCCCGTGGATATGGCGAAACAGACACGCAACCGGATTACTGACAAGGATCACCGTTTGATCGAGCCTTTTTGGAGATCTGAGATCTCTTCATTGAAACATTATCGCCCAGTCGACACGTTGAATATAGTGCTCGTTCAAAGTTGCCTCATTTGGTATCACAAACGATGAGGCCATCGCTCGCCTCATTCTCTCCACTTCGGCCTGCAGCTTCACTCATTCTTCCACCGTCAACCGGTGAGTCAGAAAGTGAAGTAACAGAGCAGCCTCAGACGGTTCTCCCAGACAGCCTTTCGGCTCCCCATCTTACTCTTTATGCAGGCGAAATTTTGATTTTGGCAATCATCGGCGAAAAGGTTTGCGGAGAATTGGGTTGAGCATCCGACGCTCAAAAAGACACACCCTACCACATCAAATTAAGCAAGTAAAAAATAAAAAAAAACAAACAAAAAAACTGTGACGGTGAAGGCGTGATGGGAGGATATAGGAAATGTGAATAGCCCAGAGCAGGAGGAGAGATACCACAACCGTCAAGCACACGTTTGGTCAAAGGGTAGGCTTTACTTGTCTCTTTGACGAGTTGTTGTGTGCTGCTACGAATGACGGTACTCACGGACGATGCCGGCGAAACGTCTGTGAATGTACCACGTCCACGGTCCACTTTTGGAAGTGATGATGCATACTACGTCCTCCTACCAACATGACCAAGTTGCGATGACAAGGTCAAACAACTTCTATGCAACGAAAGGAGACTGTCTTCATACCTTCAAATAAAATCATACTTTCTCATCAATACCTCGTGAATTGAGTCGCTATCAACTTTTATGGTACGTCAGTAATCCTTACCAACTCATTCTCCCTACTACGATTGGTCTAATCCTCTGAAAGCCCGTCTACCATTTCCACACCACATCTCCTGAATATCTCTCACCATTCACCAGACGTTTAGACAAGTGACCAATCAGACTCTCCTCA